GCACAGTTGAAGGTCATAGTTCAGAAAGGAAAGAGGTGAACACATTTGTGGGCCAGCTGAGATCATTACATTAGAGCATACGTTGGAAGGCTGAAAATGGCAAACAAGAGCACTTCTGGAGTGTTCTGTTCAGTAGTACAGCAAGCTCAGGTGACTGAAGAGAGCAAAGCAAAACATTTCGGTGAACTTGGCTGTTGTGTTGTTCTGTTTTGTTTTGTTTTGTTTTGCAAGTTTATCCAAAAAGTTTTGGCTGAAAGAAAAAAAGTATGCTTTGAAAGTTCGTTAACGTAGGAGTTTGCCTGTAAGAGTGCCTGCCTCACCGAGCGGCTAACATAACCGATCCCCTTATCCACTGTAGCCTGGTCTGTTAATCCTTGGCCAGCTCAGCCGCCTGGTTAGTCTCCTCAGCCCTGACCTTCATGTTGCCGGTTACTCTGCTTCTGCCACTTGGCCTGCCCTGGCTCTCAGCCCCACTCTCTGCTAGGATAACATAGGTCATGGGTATGTAAAAAAATTCATGTATTTTAAGTCTGGCTTTGAGGAGTGAAAATATAAATGACTATAAGAAGGCTAGGAAATTTGATTTCTTGTTTATATTGGCAGTGTTTATTGCCCTAAAAAATGTATGTGCCTGAAGAGTAAATAACTGAACTAGAGAGAGTAGTTTTGTAAAGCTCTGTTTCTTCCAAAACACCCCAGTCATTTTCATTGGATCTAATTTGAAATTTTTAAGTGTCAACTCAACAACCTCCTTAGTGAAAAGCACATTTTTCTCGATGATGTAATACCACCTGACTTTGGTTTGGGCTGCACTTATTTGTCTCCTCACAGAATTCTGATTTTGGTTCCAGTTTTGCCCCTTTATTCTGTTCTTGCTGTGCACATATTTTGTCATTCTTAGTTTCCCCTTCCCTGGCCACTTTCCTTCTTTGTAGTTGGAGTTCCTTGTGACATGTGGTCTGTTTTAGTAACATTGTTTTCACATGTTAGGTTAGCTCAGAAGTCAGGCCCTCACTGTTTTCCATAGATCATTCAAAATTGATTCAAGATGGTATTTTCTTGCTAACTCAGCAGAATGAAATAGTTAATCTCAAGAATAATAGGCATTTTATTAAAATTTGAAACTGGATTTATTTTTTTAAAGTGAAGGAAAATATATTTAAAAGAAAAAAGTAAAGTATGAAAATGCTTAGATTAACAAATTTAATCTTTCTCTTTTGAACTTGAGATCTCCGCTGAAGCAGAGTAAGGATCATGAATGGCATTTAGTTTGGTATTGATTATTCAGAAACCTTTCAGTGATTGCTGGTAAAATCAAAAGCAGAATTATTTACTTGAATAGCTTTGAAGTTCAAGTAGAAAATAAATAGAATTATGAAAGACCTAAAAAGATACTTAACACATTCACAATGGGACTGTAATTCATGTCTCACTGACAGGTGGCTTAAACCATGGGTGGCACATGTGTGACTGTCCCATTGGGCTGCTTTTTATTAATTTTACTAGTGAAAAGACAGATAAAAGTGATTAGATCTGTTTGTACCACTAGTGGTACAAGTCGCCCGATGGGACAGTCAGTGGTTCAAGCTGCAGGAATGCATTAATCCCATATCTATAGCATATGCATTTCAGCCTACATGTCTGTATCAAGCTTTTATCCAAGAAATGGGATATAAATAGGATATAATCAAGATTAATTGCTATGTTTGGCCTGCGCAATTATGGAGGTTGACTAGTCCATTCAGAACCTTCAAGAATGGCAAGCTGAAATCTTGGGCAGGACCTGAAGCTACGTCTTGGGCGCAGAATTTATTCTTAAGAGAATCCTCAATTCTGTGTTAAGGTTGCTCAGCTAATTGAATCAGGATCACCCAGATTATCTGGGACAGTCTTCGTTACCTAAACTGATTATAGACTGTGACCTTTTATAAAATATCTTCACAGCAACATCTAGATTGGTGTTTTTGGAAAACTGGCACTATAGCCTAACCAAGTTGATTCATAAATGTGACCATCAGAGTGTCCTGGTACCGACAGTGTTTTTTAGTCACAGTATTTTTCTTTGTTGGTTTTATATTTTTATGTATTTATTTAGATATTATATTTTAAAGATGATGAGCTAGTCTGTTTTCATTGTGAACAAAGAAATGATGCAGAAACTATTCTAATAACCCTTCATATTAAGATATAATTCACCTTTTTTCTGAATTAAAAAAGATAATTTAAATCATTCTTTTATGTTTCCCCACTCAGCTTCTTTATTATATTTCTTTCTTAATCTTCAGTTTCTTATTTATATGTAGTTCAGGCTAACATACTATGTGATACTTGGCATTCATCAAATCTCTGTTAGAAAGAAATGATTATTTCATAATTGTTGTATGTTCACCTTAGGGTCACATTTGTTTTTTATAAATATTGCCACTACATTGCTGATTTATATTTGGCACATTATGATTCCCAAATAGTTTATTCTGTGAGACTCTGTTGTTTTTATAACAAACAGAAGTTATTTTGAAGCATGGTCCGGTTTCAGAATGAAGAGTCTAGTGAGCTCTGGAGAGGCGTGTTCGTGTTGGAAGCATTGCTTTGCTGCACACTTCATTGACTCTGGGAAAAGCAGTGCTATCCTGCCAGTGAGAATGGCTCTGCAGTATTGAAACAAGCTCTTCAGAGTTCGGTGGACTCTTGGAGCTTTGGCAGACTTTGGCAATTTGCATTTCCAGATGAAGCCTGACAAAGGTTAGTGTAGTGCCAAACACTGGAAATGCCTTACAGATATATTTATGAATATCCAATATAAAATGATTAATTAATGGGACACATTTTAATAAATTCTGATGTTATATTTTAATATCGGTGCTACTGATATATCTAGTTTACAGCATGAGCATGAAATTTTCTGTACAGGACGTGTCTCTGTTTAGATAATGGATGTCATCTTTTCTCATGGCCACATCATGCCCTTTCTCTAAGTAATTAAACATTTATAGTACATGCCTAAATGTTTTAGGTGACATTCAAGACGCTCATAATGCAACACGGGACAAAACCAACATTATTTCTGCCATCATGAAACATGAAAGACCTTAAAAATGTATGAACATTTGAGTTGAATGCTGTAAAAGAAAGCACAGTGTAGAGTAGAGTTTATTATAGGAATAGCAAATCAGTTTGGGACTGACAGGAGTTCTTGAGGAAGAAAGTCACATTTAACTGAGGCCTGAAGCATGAAGTAATAAACACTAATAGTGGTGGGCACTATTCTGTGTCCCTACTATAAACCCACAACCTCACAACAACCCTATGGGGTAGACACTGTTATTTTCTTCCTCTTGCAGAAGAGGAAGCTGGCGAGGAGGTTAGCAAACTTCCCCAAGGTCGCAGAGCTGAGCACTGAAACTGGGGTCTGAGCCAAGTGAAAGATCTGTGCCCTTAGCCGTTACCTTCCAGGGTAGAAACGGGCTGGAGGTGAGCGGGCAGTGTCATTCAGGCAGTGGGTTTATATGATGAAGAGATTGTTGCAGTAACTTGGACCCAGATTGGACCCCCAGATGAAGAAAATTATATAGATCTTGGAAATATCTGGGTGATAGATGTAGCAGGACTCTGCGGTTTTAAGAAAGGCAGATGACTCGAGTTTCTGCCTAGAGCAGCTGGCTGGGTAGTGCTGCTGAAGAGCACAGACTTGAAGACAAACTTTGAGTTCAATTTTGTTTCAAGGTGACTTGTACTAATGCAAGAACTTGGCTATAAAAGCCTGCAGTTCAGAAGCGAATTCTAAGCTTGGCATAACATTTAATACAGTACTTTTTTGGCCTTGGGAGAGATGAGGAGAAAACATAGCTCGAATCACAAGTAGTGGAACAGGCCGTACTTTTGTTTGGGTTGAAGAGGTGATGCTCCACAGAGGAGACTAAGGGGAAGGAGCCATTTAGGGGTAAGGAAAACTGACAAAATGTGGTAACACAAAAGAAAGGAATACAGCCTCTGTTTTGATTTTCTGGTAAGATTTTCTGTTTTTTCTTTTAGGACTTACTCCCTTTATCCAATCACTTGTTGGTAGGTACCTAGGCTGACTCTATTATCTTAGCTATTATAAATAGTGCTGCAATAAACACGGTTGTACAAGTATCTCTGTGGTACGCTGATTTCATTTCCTTTGGATATACACGCAGAAGTAGGAGAGCATTTTTAGTTTTTTGAGGAACCTCCATACCATTCTCCATAATGTCATTGTGTTTTATGTTAACCTGCTTCCTTAGGATCCATTTTGCATGGAATCTTATAATACCGCAGTTTCTTTTAATCCATACTTCTGAAATAATTTTGCCAAATACTCATCGACTTGTAAAGCCTGTTGTACAAGTGTTGGTCACTAGAGATAATGGATAAGAAAAAAGGTATGCATCAGAACTATGCTGTCTTATTCTTAGATGATTTGTTGGAAAATAAAAATTACATCATAATATTCATGTGCCTATTACCATTTTATATTATTTAGTCTCAGTCCCACTCATGTTGTTGCAAACTAATTCCAAGTTAATTTTTTGTTTTTCTCCAGACTCATAATTCAGAACATTTCTACTCTTCTCAAGTTTCTGAACTCAATTTCAAAGATCTGTATTTAAACCAGACCATCAAAGAAATCTGTACCTAGCTGCTCAGTTTCCCCTTCCCTTCCAAATATCTTTGTATGTTTTTCTAATATTTTACTTCTACCAGTCTATATCAGAAAAATGATCACTTCTTTTTTCCCAAGGTTAAATTTTCTATTTTTCTTGAAACATGTTAGAGAAAACACAAAGTGAAAAGTAATTATATTTATGTGATTTTATTGGATGTTTATTCTATATATTTGGAAATAATATAATATGTGTTTGGAAAGCTCTTCTAAAATACTATTTGTACTATATATTAATATTTTTGGTAGTGTGTACTCTTGTTATTAAAGCATCACGTTAATCACATGTAAAATGAATTTCCTTTGTTTTCCTCAGAAAGACTGGTGGTGGTGGCTGAACACTGTGAGCGGAGCCTGGAAGATTTGCTTCGAGAAAGGAAACCTGCGAGGTACTGTGTGATAAACAGCAGGGCAAATAGATGAAGAATGGAAACTGGCAGACAGGCATTTTAACTAGAAACCACAGGGCTTGGTTTCCTCCTGTTACTGGTTTAACAGTACAAACCAGGTGCAAATTTTCACTCTAGGAAATTTATTTCACAAGCTACATAAAAATTTAAAATTAACATTATACAGCGTTCAGGTTTTGTGAAATAAGTGTTGTCCAAAGTGCCTAAAAAACCTCCTCAAAAGAACATAGGTATATGAAAGATTGAAATCTTCTAGTGTTAAGCATTTCACTTCATGAGAGAAAGTTTATCTTGAGGAAAGGAACTGCATGGTAGCTAGTCAAAGGATGCTGATATTCCTAGGGATACGATGAACTGTGTTGAGCAGGACATTTTAATGATGCAGTTTGAATTCAGGTGTTTCAATGACTTAATTTACTTTCTATCTCTTGGTAAGAAGACTGTAGTCTAGACTTTTATTATAAGCACATTATAAAATAAGCTATTTCATAGACTTTCTGACATTATCTTGCCATGAGTCTTTAAGGCATTGTAATCATCTCTCTATCTTTCTATACCTATGGCTGGAGTTTCGGCAATGTGGTGGAAGGGAAGGACCATAAGAGAGTACCCAGACTATCCCAAGGATGGGCCAGTTTGAATTCCAAAGGAAGATGCACTAAAAGCCAGGATGATCAGTCCAAAACAGTTATTAGGAGAACTCACAGAATGCTGCAACTTATTCTGCAGACTTACAGCAAGAAAAGATGGTGTTCTCCCTAGGCATGTATGCTGTGAGGGTCAGGACCTGGCATTTATATGAGTGTTTAAGGCATTTGGATTCAGGGGTGAGGCCACCTTTCAGGGTTTTGGGCAACATCCTGAATACCCTTGTAAATGCTAGGGAATGTTTAAAGGCTTGACTTGGACAGAAGACTGTTAGGAAAAACCTGCAGCTGGATGAGTCACTGAACAATCAAGCCACTCTGATTTTTGTTTCAGACACAAAAATAAATTGAGGGTGAGGGAGAGGTAGATGAGAAACTAGGGTAACTGTCCTAGTTTTTAAAAATAATCTTACCCTCATTGATAACACTTTGCCTTCACCACAATATTCTGAATAAAAATAGACTTTTTCCAAGGGGAATGCCAGGTGTGTGGGTGCATGCCTATATTCCCAGCACTCACAAGCCTGAGGCAGGAGGATCACCCCAAGTTTGAGACCAGCCTGGGCTACATAATGATTTCAAGGCCAGCCTGAACTAGTGAGACCCTGTCTCAAAAATGAAAATTAACTTAAGTTAAATTTAAAAAATAACTTCCGGAGGGGGGATTTATATCTTACTAAATGGTAATACTTTTGTAGAAGGTAAACAAGTAAATTGAATGAACGAACTTTCTTGGTAGCTGGATGTGGTGGTGTATGCTGGTAATCTCAGCACTCTGGGAGGCTCAGACAGAAAGATTGCAAGTTCAAGCCCAACTTGGGCAACTTAGTGACTCTTATCGTTTATATCTAGATGTCCTCCCAAAGCTTCATGTGCTCATAGGTGGAGTTTCTGACAGGTGATTGGATTATGGGGCTTATAGCTGGACGTGTAGTTAATAGGTGGGACCTGGTCCCAAGACATAGGTTGCTGAGGATGTGGCCTCCCTCCCAGCGACAGCCTCCTGTGACTGTGCTTCCCGCCCTCAGCTGTCCTCCACAGACCCTTCCACTGTGCCCTTCCTGCCTTGGAGCTGGCCCACCACAGACTGAATCCACTAGAAAACACGAGCAGCCAAACCGCTTCTCCTTTAAGTTGCAGTTGTCAAGCACTTTATCTCAGTGATGAGAAAAGTGACTGAGACTGTGACATAGCAGGACCCTCTCTCAAAGATAAAACATAAAAAGGCAGTGGGGATGTAGCTCAATGAGAAGGCCCTGGATTCAATTCAGAGTACAACAACAAAAACCCCAGAAGGGCTGGGGATGTAGCTCAGTGGCACCGCGCCTGCCTTGCAAGTGCAAGGTCCTGAGTTCGATGCCCGCAAACAAAAAAAAAAGCCCAGAAGAACTTGTTTCATGCTTTAAATGACTTGGTTTTGAGTGGCCTCTGGATTGAACAAAGCAAATGACACATGTGCAGTGGTGTATCTGACCTGTGGCCCCCAGGCTGGATGCTGCTCTGTGTTAAGAAAATGCAGAGAGATTTGTTGCTTCTAGCCATCATATTATAGGTTTTATATGTGGCCAAAGTCAGTTCCTCTTCACTCAGTACGGCACGGGTGTCTGTGAGCAAAGGATGGCCTAGAGACGCACCACCTTCTTTAGAAAGTCTACTCTAGGTATTGAAGTGACTTTTCTATGTGTTAGAATGCAGCTTAACCTTATTTAGTGACTATGCTTTCATAGTTACAGTTTTTGTAATGTCACCAATCTTTGATTTTTTTAAAAGAATATACAATATTATTTATGGTCACTAGTTCATATTTATGCTGTGATTGATAGGCCACTTATCCTAAAAAGAATTTTCTGAGAAGTTAGTTGACATTCAGATTTAAAACTAATTGTAGCTACATCTTTAAGAAAGTAATATTGTAGCTAAGCCTGGGTTAAATTTGTATAAAGATTTACAATGTATTATGTATGATATAAAAGCTGCTAAGTAGACAGCCATGTCTAAGCCTCTTAATTTTTCAGATCTGTAAAACAAGGAATTTTACTTAATATATGACTCACTTTAGAGCACATTGCTTTCAGCTTAATATCTTGTCTCATATTCATTACACCAGCTAATATTGATCAGTTGTCCTTATAAGTTTTTTCATGTTTTCTTATACTAATATATGAAAGTACTATTTTTATTTAAAGGGTAGATTCCTTGACTAAAGAATGTATGGCAAATCTAAGCTCAAAACTTCAGTACAGTAAGTCTCCGACTTATGAACATTTGAATTGCATACTGTCATAGGTATGCTGTATAAGATTCACAGGTGTACTGTATCAGACTCACTTTGTCAGATTACAAATGAATCCGACTTACAAATGTTTTCCCGGAGTGGAACTCATTTCTAAGTCGGGCACTTTACTGTACTATGATTTAAAAGGCTAAAATTAGGTAGAAACATCCCTTTCATGACCTCGTAATTGATTCCACTCCTAGACACAGCCCTCTTAAATTATGTACCCTAGGATCTTATTTGCCTCACTTTAGTCCCAGCCCTGCCTAGGTATTTAAGAGAACAACAACAAAAAATATGTCCACAAAAAGATTTGCAAGAGAATGTTCCCAGAAACATCATTCCATGTAGCTCCAATGGTATGAATGCAAATGTCCGTTCATGAGATGTCAATATCATAAAGGAGGGAACTGTAGATGAACTTTGAAACTATTATGCTGAACAAACAATCCAGACATAAAGGATTACATTCTTCCATTTATATGACATTCCAGAGCAATCACTATTTATCTGTGATGACAGAAAAACAGGCCTTGTTTCTGGTTGGTAGAAGGGAAGAATGTCAGAACTAATTCAGAAAGGTCTTGCCAGGGTACTTTTGAGATGATGGAAATTTCTCACATCTTAATCAGGTGTTATTTATGTGATACATGCTTTTGTCAAAACTCACTGAAATATACACATTTCACCTAAGTCAATTATACCTCAGTTTAAAAAAAAATGCTGAATTATTTACTTGGCGTGGCTTTTGAATGTCTCGTAAAGAAATATTACTACATTGTTAATGAAGGTATTCAGTCCAGGGGCTTACTTCCTTGCATTTCTGTTTTTTACAAAAGACAGTATGAATTCATTATTGCTAACCCCACTATCCCCTATCCGCATCTCTAGTGGTTTAGCATTACCTCGTATAATTTCTCTGGGTCAGAAATTCAGGAATGGTTCTAGTTTAGGAACTAACCTTGTAAGCTATAAGGTTGCAGTCAAGGTACAGGCTGGGACTGCAGTCTTCTGAAAGTTTGACTGGGGCGGGGAGAGTGTCTGTCCCTAAGACAGTTCACTCAAAAGATGGTGCAAGTTTTTGAAAAGAAGCTTTGGTCCTTCCTTCTGTTGAACCACAGGCTGCCTGAGTATTCTCACAAAGTGAGCAATCGTAAGAAAGTAAAGACAGCAAGGTAGACTCTGCAGTGCCTTTTGTGGCCTACCCTCAAAAACCATACTGCCATTTCCACAACACCCTGTGGTTGCACAGGTCAGCTGGTAGCTCGGTTCACTGTGGGTGGGGACGATGACTCCACAATATCAATTTTGGGAGTCAGGAGTCGTCTCGGACCATCTTGAGGCTGGCTAACACATGACTCATAGAGATTGTCTGAGGACTGTTAATATAAGGGAAATGCTAAAACAGCATTAATATCAACCAAAAAGAAAAACTGAAGTTCTTGAAATTATTCAGTATTTAGAATATTTGGAACTGGAGAAGGGAAGGAGTTTGTACTACAAAGACAGGGTGAAGTGTTAAGGGAATATTCATAAGTACCAGGGTGGGATAGGGTCTTCATGGGCATAGCTGTGCCATGGTAAGAACTCAGCTGCATCCCGAAGTGCATGTTGGCCGTGGTCTTGTGTGTAAGTTCCAGAGGACTCCGTAAGCCATTACAAAGTGCTGTGGTAGGGAGGAAGGCCATGCTGGTAGAATGTTCCCTCTGATTTCCACATCTCTTTCCACCCAAGTGTCCTTCCTCTCTTACTAAAAGAACTGAAGCGAAAAGGGGAAGTTGGTGACTCAGAAAACAAATTTCCATCTCCAGCATTTCATTTCAACTCCACCCTTTTCCTTCCTTTTTACTTCTTTTAAGCTTTCCAGTTTACTAAATAAGGGTACGGTTGACATAGCTTTGCCAATGAAATTATATCCATTAGCTAATGAAAAGTGTTAGCTCTCATGCTGGTCTCATTTTATCCTTGTTTTAGAGATGACGACTCATAGCAGTGAACATCAGTAGTTTCTACAGTATAAGAAACCACCTTTCTTCAGTGCCTTAGTGTCTGGTGTC